TGGTTTATCAATGTCAACATGAACCTCAGAGCATCCTGTTAAAAAGCAGGATGCTCTGCCAAAGCCTTTAGTAGCTGAAGTCAAAAACAAAGGACAAAGATGGGTAACATATAGTTTTAATGCACAATTGTGCTTTTTCAGTGCATGTAGAGCAATGTTAGTTTACAGATGAATTATGGATGGGGTGAGATTGTGAAGAACTTCACTACAGCAGGCTGTACAACCAAAATTATCTAACTTGCCTGATTTTGAAATTGATACTGTAGCTATATCTGTTAGGAGGCTGAAGGGTGGCAGTGGCAGGTGCTAGTATTTTTAATGATGGCAAAACACATCCATATATGAAGACAAGATGCATGCATCAAACAGAATCTGTTAAGAAACCTACCTATCCAAGACCACGATTGCCAAAGAGATATACTCCCGTTGTCCCCTGCATGTCCAAAGACATGCAGTTAGTGGGGTACGGTTAATCAGTAGGCCAGCGTGTTAGCATGGTGGTTAGCACTGTTGCCTCACAGCAAGAAGGCCCTGAGTTCAATTCCACCATCAGGCAAGGGTCTTTTTTTGTTTGCGTGGGTTCTCTCTGGGTACTCTGGCTTCTTCCCACAGTCCAAAGACATGCAGTTAGTGGAGATGGGTTCATTGGAAACACTAAATTGCCAATAGTTGTCTGTGTTAGCCCTGCGACAGACTGACATCCTGTCCAGGGTGTACCCTGCCTCTCACCCTATAGTAGCTGGGATGGGCTCCAGCCCCGCCCACAACCCTGACAAGGTTAAACAGAAGAGACAAAGGGAGTATAATCAGCATGCTTCTTGTTTAACAATACATTTCAGTTAAGGATAAACTAGGAAAAACGCACACATATGGTAGAACCTGTAGAACCAAGCCTTAAAAAAACAAAAAACCTTGTAGAGAAACATAAAGATGAGTACCAAACTGTAATACTCTTTTATTTCTGACTGTCCCCTACAGCAAATGTACATTGCTGAGGTACTACAAGAGCCAAATTCAGATGAGACTGGTTCTGGCAGCGGTGAGGACGACGGCCAGGGGTCCTCGCAAGACGAGGAAATAATCAGTGTTGACAATGGCTTAAATGAAGCCTTTCAGTCTGGTGAGGACAGCCTAATTGATAATGAAGTGCGGCAATGATTGCACCTGGGAATAGAAAGCCAAGTCACTTTAGGAGCCCACTGAATGAGTGAATTAAATGAGGAACTGAACCAACGGTTCTCCGAAACATCTCATCCTCCTTGGGGGACCTTCCACTAACATAAGCACCCTGCCCTGTCTACTAAGAATTAAACGGACTGTCGCACAAAGACTCTCACATTTCCTTTACTGGGCCTCGCCAGGCCGCATCCTATGTGTACCTACTGGAGAAGGAATCTACTCTGGCATCGAAAGGGTAGCAACATCTTCGTGCTCCTGACGCAACTGAGGCACACCCCAGTCACTTTCTCTGGACCAATGGAAAGAAGACATTAATGCATAAGGAAATCATTGCCTTGTCTTGTAAGGGGAGTTACCTTGGTATTGCACCCGAATGACAGGACCAGTACGCTCCACTTTCACTAAGGTACTGCAGTATGGCATGCAGCTTCAAAAACGTGGAGAGATTTCTCCCATAATTGCTAACTGCACTAGATGTTTTCAGAAAATAAGCAGATTAGGAGAGATGAGCGCATGAGATGATGGGAGCAGCCTTTATGCCAGATAGTGCTATCAGTCCAGATGAGATGGTCTCACATGATTCTTCCAGTTCCATAGAAGCCTTGAAAAACTGGGGAAAAAAATGCTACTTAACACTCCAGGAAGCTTTGACACTGTACAGCTATTAAAAAAAATCTCTGGATTTGTAAAATAGCCTTTTTTTTCGACATGTATTTATTGGTAGGCATGGAGTTTTTAACGCTGTCATGCTTTACACACCCTTTAAGCTGTGGAAGAAGATGATTCATGTCTCGGCACACTACACTGATAATGATCTTAGTTTCTGGGTCTGAACCTTTTGTTGGGACTGCAGTTGGAATGCTGCTACTAATGCTGCCTCCAAATAAAAAGGGGGGAAACCTTTGCACGGTTGCTGCAGAAGGACCAGAGCTGAGAGCCTGTGGAAGGTCTAGCTATGAGGAAGGAGAGAAAGGCCTTTGTGGTTCCCCCTTCCCCGGGTCAGTTTTAGATGATGCTGACTGTGCTTCTGTACGCGTTGTTCTCGTTTCCTTTTTGTTTACGTTTTCCTGTAAGTTGCTTGAAATTAAGATTTAGTTCAGATGGCTGCCATTTTTCTTCTTTTGTCCTGTCAGGCCCTCTTTAATGTCAATGTTTATGTAGACACTTTATCATGCCGATAGCTTATTTTAAGTTTCTGTAGTCAATGAGGAGAGATTAGGGGTGTAGACTATGTTCTTTTTTTTTTCTTCGATAACACTAAATAATGGGCAAGATTTAACTATAACAGTTACAGATTTTTTTTTTTTGTGTCGTACTTGTCTTTAATAGGAAAGAGGGGATTGTGAAGGAATCGAGTTTGACCCAGAAGTGTCTGTGAGCATATAGACATGCTCTAAAAGACCACATTTGATCAAGAAATGCAGCAACTCTAATCAGAATCCTTTAACAACATTGCAACACTACGAGCTACCCTATGAAATATTTAAAAAATGAAGAACATTTATGATAAAAGGCAAAGCACAACTGCTGTCTGTTGACTTAATGATATGGGATCATATTAAAACACGTTTTGTACCAGCTTTTGGAACCATAGACAAAATAAATGTGCGCTAACTGATCTTCCACTTGTATGACTGATGGAGAAGGGCACACCTTGGTGTATTTGTACCACGTATAGGTTCATCATCATGGTACTAACAAGACAGTTGTATGACACCGCTGATTCCTGTGCTCTTTGCATCACGATTGGGTGATTTCGTTTTGTTTGTTTGTTTTTTAAATATACCTCTGAGTTGGCTTGAACTGTCTGAATGTGTCAGCACAGGTAATACATCTTTTCCAGTAACTCTAATCTCAACTCAACTAACATTTCCACGTCTCCACTAAGCACTGGATGTAGTTAAATATATCGTATTTGGTGAGATAAAGGTAGGATACGAGTGGTTCTGTATTTAAGCAACTTTAATGGGACGGTTCTCTCACTAAGCCAGATGTTTTATACTGTATTCAACCTTACTGCTGTCCAGCCCAGTGCTCTTGTATTTAATTTGCTTATAGAGCTACGTTTGTTAGTCTCATGGTTTCAGTGATTTCTGTAATGATGGATTTTTCTTTTGTACTATCTTTGTAAGATCTGTATAAACTTAATGCAAATAATGGGGTTGTAATTTTTTTTTAAACAGCAGATCTCTAACGGAGGTTGTGGGCTTGTTTGTCTCTGCATCTCAAAAAGTGCACAGTCACAATGTTTTGTGTTTGTTCTGTTTGTGCTTTGCCTTTTTTAGGTTTAGATCATTCTAGATACTGAGAGTAACAATGGCATATCTCAACATTCGACTTACTCGTTTATCATTCTTTCCATTGGTCTGTCTGTACAGACATATTCTGTACTTCCCCTGAGTTCATTCAACAATAAATGTGTTTAATCAGCTTAGTTGATGATAAGAGTTTCTGTTCAATCGTCCAGTGGTAGAGGAATTTAAAGTAATATCTTTCTGATATTATAATTTTATTTTATTCAGTTGCACATGAAAGCTGAATTTGTGTTCAGTTCTATACAATCGGGGTTTTGCTGTTGCAGATTTATTTGGTCAATTAGCAGCAGCTTCATTAGTTATACCTCACTGGTACTGGGTTGGACCCCCTTTTGCCTTTAGATTTGCTTTAATTCTTCGTAGCACAGATTCGGCAAGGTGCTGGAAACATTACTCAAAGGTTTTGGTCCGTGTTGACGTGATAGTGCTGTTTAAATGGATTAGTTGGTACCAGAGTGTGCTCAAAAAAAAATACACCTCCACCACCTCTGAGCCTTTGATATGAGACGGGATGGGTCCATGCATTCACGTTGTTTATGCCAAATTCTAACTCTACCATCCAAATGTTTCAGCAGAAATCAAGACTCGCCAGCGGGCAACTTTTTTTTTTTTTTTTCCTCCTTCTTTTATTGTCCAATTTTGGTGAGCCTGTGCAAACTGTAGCCTCAGTTTCCTGTTCTTAGCCGACAGAAGTGACGCCCACTTTGGTCTTGTGCTTGCTGTAACGTGTGGTTATTTTAGCTGCTACTGCTTTCCTGTCAGCTCGAAGCAGCCTGGTCATTCTCCTTTTGAGCTCAGACATCAACAAAACATTTTCATTTAGAGAACTGCTGCTCACTTCTCGTTTTCTGACCATTTTCTGTAAACCCCAGAGATGGTTATTCAGCCATTTCTGAAACACTCAAACTAAAGCGGGCAACCGTGGCTCAGGGGGTTGGGAATCGCATCTGTAACCGGAAGGTCGCCGGTTCGATCCCTGGTCTCTCTGTCTCTCTCGTTGTGTCCTTGGGCAAGATACTTTACCCTACCCTACCGCCTACTGGTGTTGGCCAGAGGGGCCGATGGCGCGATATGGCAGCCCCGCCCCTGTCAGTCTGCCCCAGGGCAGCTGTGGCTACAACTGTAGCTGCCTTCACCAGTGTGTGAATGTGAGAGTGAATGAATAGTGGTATTGTAAAGCGCTTTGGGTGCCTTGAAAAGCGCTATATAAATCAAATCCATTATTATTATTATTATTATTATTATTATTATTATTATTATTATTATTATTATAATAAAGCACCTTTCTGTCTCAATCTGTTTCTCACTTTTGAACTGTATGGCAGGCCAATACAGAAAATAACATATTAAATGTGTAGTGAATTAATTTAAATTGGAAATGAATAAATATTTAAATAATTAAACACCTGTTCATTTCATTTATAAGAATTATTTCCAATTTCAATGAATAAATGAAATTTAATTCTTTAATTTGTATGTAATTTAATTTATTTTGGCACTTGTGGCCCTCTATACATTTTCTCTTTTGTTTTACTCTCTTTTGATAGCTTGTTTTAATTGTTGCACAGTGCTTTGTAACTTTTATGTCAATTGCTATTAAAATAAACTTTACTTACGTACTAAACTATATTAGTGGTATGCAAAAAGGAGTGTATCGACTTCTTATGTAACCTGTCCTGCCAGTGACCTACACTCCCTCTTCTTCTATCAGGAGCCTCGCGTTGTGAAGGAATTCGTCTTTAACACACTCACTGTGCTCTTTATAGTGTCCACTTAGTGTGGTCTGGGAGTACTTTGTTGAGATTGAGATTTTACTCCAAACTGAAAACAGGTGGTGAACAATTGCGCAATCGAAGCCCTAAAAGATGCAATTAACGCCTTTGTTGTCCTACAGTGTAGGATGGGCGCGTAAAACCTCTCCAGAAAATACCTTTTAACCCACCCTTTCAAAACCGGCCTGGGTTATGTTTAACTGGGGCACAGAGGAATGGAGTTTTGCTTCCACTCAGGTTGCAGTTCTCGCTGTCGGACACTTGGTGCTGCTGCTTGGGAAGCAGCTGTGTAGCAAACGAGGGGGGGCGGCCACGGCGGTGCGACGTGGAAAGGCAGAACAGCATTCTGGTGTTCTCTGATGGTAGAGATTAAACTCCAGCGACCCAATGAGAACGCACACCGTCCCGGATCTCAGTAGGAGCTAACGCTGAAATGAAAGCAAAGGGGCGAACCGGGTAAATACTTGTGTTAGGAAGAAGTCGTCGCCATGGACGGAGGGCTGATTATTACATTTATATCTGTGGCGATGTTTGTAGGCTCCTTTCTCCTCGGATTCATCCCACTGTTGTTCAGACTGTCTGAGGTAAGTGATTTCCCACAGTCTTTGTTTATAGCGGACTGTCTGGATCTGCTTCATCTTGTCTTATTTGTCGTGCCCTCATAATGTGCAAGGCTGTTGTTTTGGAAACTTGCTGAACAACTAGAACTTGTGAGGGGAATCTCAGTCATCTGCTGAAATCACGTGTCTTAACCCTAGAAAAGCCTGCAGTTCGTTTCCATCCTGGGGGCAGGTCTGCTGTGTGGGACAGCGCTGGCCATCACCATCCCAGAGGGAGTGGGTTTGCTGGAAGACTCGTGGAAAGGTGAGCAGGAAAGCTCAAACATGCACATGACAACGAAGCAGAATGGTTGCTGTGCAAGCTTTGTGTTTATGTGGGTGTGCTAACCCACCAAATTTGCATGTGTTTGATTGTAGCCTCCAGATGATTGATGAGGCAGGTGGGAGATGAAAAAGCTGCTCTCTGTAAAAACAACAAAAACAAGCTCATCAAAAGCTCTTTCTGTTCTTCATCTTCCGTCTCCAGCGTCATCCTCTGATGTGTCATCCGGTCTAAATTCCAGTAAAGAAAATGGGACCGTGGCAGAGAGAGGCCCACCTCGGTTCCTCATTGGGGTGGCTTTGACGCTCGGGTTCACCTTCATGTTTGTCGTCGATCAGATAGGAAGCTACCTTTCCACACGCGGCAAGTTATCAGAACTCTCACGCCAGCTTTACATTGCAGAGTGTTGCCTCCACAGATTTGTTAACCACCTCAGCGTGTGCGATGTCTAATTTCAGACCAGACGACTTGTTTGTCCAACAGCGTCCACTTCACAGCCACGTTGGGCCTGGTTATTCACGCTGCAGGTACGTGACACAGCCAAACCTCTCCTCTGCATATTTATTCTCTTGCTTTTGCTTGAGATGCACTGTTTCACAGGCTTCGAGGTCACAGGGGTGGAAAGTTTATAAGGAAACGTTCCTTATGCCCCCGTGTGACTCGGCATGTGATTCTGCAGCACAGCCTGCAGGATCTAACTTTACAGTTATTTAAACAGGGACAACCAAGCTTGACAGCAGTCACAAATCAAACAGCAATCATCCATGATGCAGATCTTAAAGACCGGAGACCTATACAAATCCACATAAAAGAAGTAGCTGTACCATCACAGTAATAATCTCTTTGTTTGCTTTTAGCTGATGGATTTGCTCTGGGTGCTGCTGTGGCTACAGGTCAAGTGACAGTACAAGTTGTAGTGTTTTTTGCTGTGATTCTGCACAAGGTGAGAGAACGGCTCATTGAAATGAACAGATGTCTGGGTGACGAGCACGATGCCATTGACCGTCTTTCCCGTCTCCTGTTTAGGCGCCCGCCGCTTTTGGCTTGGTCTCCTTTCTGATGCACGGAGGCCTCGAGAAGAAGTTCATTCAGGGACACTTACTGGCCTTTTCAGCTGCAGCGCCTATAGTTGCTATTGCCACTTACTTCATATTATATGCGGTAAGAAAGCACAATCTGACTGTCGTGTCTGCTTGAAAGGAGATGCATTAAATCCCAGTGACTAGACGGTTGCTGGTTCTGAGTTATTTAACCTGATGTGTGCTGTGTCTGCAGTCTGGAAGCTCATCTGAGAATCAGCTCAGTGCAACAGGAGTGGGAATGCTCTTCTCAGCGGGGACGTTTCTCTATGTGGCCACGGTGCATGTTCTCCCTGAGATCAGCAGCAGCAGGACTGATGAGCTGCCCTTGGACTCAGAGCAGCAGTCTGGAGCCAAAGCCCACCAGCAGAGACACTTGGGGCTCCTGGAGAGCCTCACCCTCATCATCGGTGTGGGGCTTCCGATGTTGCTGGCCCTCGGACTGCACGATGACTAAAAGAAAACATGAGGGCAATTTATTTTAAAAGGGGGTGAAAGGAAAACTCTGAGCACCTGTACTGTATGCCACAATGATCGGAGGACAAAATAGGCTTTGACAGAGTCTACCTTGGTCCTCTTATTTCAGTGTAACTTTGTGCCAGGCTATTGTTTGGGTGTCAAAAAGCTTTCCGGGAGGTGATAAAGAATCGGGTAACTAATATAGTTTCATAGCTGAATTGAGTTTCCATTCAGAGGAAGCAGAAACAGTTCTCATTTGTCTCCACGGTCCGCTGAAGGCATGTTGAGGTATTAAATATCCCAAAAGGTGAATAGATTTACAGGAACAACCAAATAATTCGATACTCTCTCACCTAGAAAATAAGGTCTCTAGGGCGTACACTTTATATTATTATATTTTACGGCTAAGAGTTTGAAAATATGGCCGGATTTTCAGATTATAAATGTGCAATAATACAAACTACAAAGTTTTTTTTATAATGTTGTTTGTCTGAGTTGGTTTATGGTGGGGATCGTGTCGAGTGAGAGGCAGCCTGGACAGGTTACCGTCTGTCTGCTATCACAGAGGCGCGGGCCAACTGTTCGCACTCACAGCTGCAGCTAACGCTAATTTAGAATCATATCTCTGACTCAGCATTCATGCTTGTGCAGTGTGGAATAAGGCTGGGACAAAACCAGGGACACGCGGAGAACATCCAAACACAGAAAAGGGGCAAAGGTTTGAACCTCTCAATGTGAAGTGATAATAACTGCAGCCAAATGAGAAGACCAACCGGTAAACTGGTCCAGCAACTCTCATGTTAGGTGATACGTTAGACGGAGACGGGTTCCTGGCAGCAGGTGAGGTACGTATCAAGAACTATCGAGCAGATTCTGGAGGTTACAGATGTTTTACTGACTCACTGCCACTTAGAGCAATTTTTACCTTTACTTTCCTTCTTTCAGCTCCTTTAGTGTGTGCAACATGTGAAATATTGAAACATGTGAAATGTCTTCTGGTTTTATAATGGCTTATTTATTTACTTTATACTTGATTCTTTTTTGTTTTCGTCACACAACGCTGTACATTGCTGCATCGACTGACCTAAAGCTTGTTTACTTCTTATGTTTAACGTGTGGAGCAGAATTCCCCTTTTAACAGCTACACTAAATATCTTGAGATTGAATTTTAATTTCATAGTTTTTGTATTGTAAACCAAAGTTAAGATATTTTACACTTAAATTTGTCCTTTATTCATTAAGCGCTAAACACAGTTCATGTATGAACCCATATGAAAACACATGCACAGGTTAGAGACCAATTAGGTTACATTTATGGAAACCTATCTGCTCTACAAACCTTTGGAAGTGACCACAGAAGACATGACAAAGGAGTATTAGCCAAAAGGAAGGTTTTTGGGTTTATAAATGACAGGCCACCAAATACCCTGATTCAACCGAGGACTTGGATTTTAACTACTTTAAAAAAAACTTTTGTCTTCAAGGATGCCTTAAATCACTGTCTGTGGTTGATGCTGTCAAGTGTTGCTTATTTAATTTTTGTTTCAGTCTGATAAATATTGATGACTCCTGTTTCCTCCTACTGGTGGAAAATTCCACTCTGACCCTCGGTGGAAGCTTGCCATTGGTGGAACACCACTAGAATAAAATCCAGTGTTTTTATGAACTCCCTGATCAGGGCTCATTTGCTGGAGTTTTGGTTTTTTTTGTTTGTTTTTAAGTTGAACACCATGCCATGAGAATAAAGATTTCTTTACTATTGTCTGAAAAGAGAGTTCCTTGGAGTTCTTTGATGATTTGTCCTACATGTGACCCCAGTTTGAATACAGGAAGTGCTCCCGTTTACAGTTCATGTAATTATTAAAAATGTGGCACACATGATCACGCTGCTAATGGTGAAATCAAACATCTGTTATGGCCTAGCATTAAAGTGATACAGCGTTGTTCTGTTTGAATCTTGCACATAATAAAAATCTTCAAGTGGTATAAAGATTTTATAACACACAGTAGTCAGACTAACAGGAAAACAGGCAACCCCGTGGTCTAGCAAACATTAACTCTTGCCTCGTGTCCTCATAGCTCATTCAGAGCATTGCAGTAGGACTGCACTTTGATTCCTTTCCAACCTCTGCAGACTATCCCCTCCCCTCTTATTTGCAGTCTACTAACAGCTAAACGCTCTAGCCATCAATCTTTAAGTGCCGGATGGTTATATTTGTTGTGACTAGTTGAATGTGGGTTGCATATAATGTGTTGCTACACAATCAATCTCATCTCAGGCTTAAGAACTAGCCAGGGGTCAAATATAAATGAATACACTGCTGTGAACTACTGAACACAAATGGTTGAGGAAACAATGGTGCCTGTAAAGTTTACCCTGACAGGAGGTCACTCAGAGGTCTTGCTGATCTAAGCAGTTAACCTCAACTAAATAAAATGAAATGAAACCGTTTCGAAGTCTTTGAAACTGTATCCCAGCTACTGCACTCTATCAAATAAAAAGTTGACTTTTTGGATTATTAAAATCACCAAATGTTCATGTGTCTGTCATTACAATGGCCAAAAATGATTTTTAAGAACAGCTCTGATATGATGTTCAAGGGCCCTTGCATCTCGGGGACCATTTATAATGAATTTAAATTCATTTACATTCAAAGTGCAGAGAACAGTGATGTGTCTCAGTATTTCTGCAAGTCTCTGGAGCTATTATTTGACTGCAGATCCTTTTCTAAGCAGCTCTGGGTGAGTGTACAGGTGCAAAACAGAGTCTGAATAGAGTTCACAGATTCATGCGGTTTAAAGACGCAGTCAGCTGAGCCTCAAGCGCCATCTGATCAAAGGTCCGGCTGTGCGTCTGCTGCCTCACTCTCTCCCTCATGTGAAAGGAGGCCCGAGCCAGCCTCTGTGCCTCCTCCTGTATCTGCTCTCGCTGCCTTCTCAGCCGCTCCCTCTTCTGCTCCTTTGTGGAAATGCGGCTCTCTCTGACTCTCCTCGCCGCCTCCTCCTCTCTCTGTAGTTCCTCTCTGAGCCTCTGGTGGCAGAGCTGCCTGTGTTTGTTGTTCTGCCGGGTTTTCTGAGCTCTGCGCCTGTGCTGCGCTGAGGCGTGCAGGGCGGCTCTCTCCATGCGTCTCTGGCTCAGCTGGACCAGGATCTGCTTGTGTGTGAGCTGCTGGACGCTCTGCAGCTCGGCCCTCAGCTGCACTCGTTGACTCATCTCCTCCTCCCGGGCAGCCCGCTCCCGAAGCTCTTCGAGTCGTGCCTCTACAGACTTGGCACGCCTTTGGCAGGAGTGCTGCAACTTCTTCTCCAGTGTGCTCCTCCTCTGCGCCTCCTCTTCCTCCCCCTGCAGCTCAACCTGGTGTTTCAGCAAGATGTGTCTCAGCAGCTCTTTATGGTTTTCCTCCTGCAGCCTCTTCCGCTCCCCCTTCTCCTTCAGCATCTTGCTCCTCAGGACCTTCTCCTCCTTCTCCGCTGCCACCTGTCTCTCCCTCTCTCGCTCCCTCTTCCCCGCCTCCTCCTTCTCGGTCAGCAGCTTCTCCTGGTAGCGTTTGCGCTCTTCCGCCTCCTTCTGTGTACCCTCCATCTTTGCCCTGCGGTACACTTCCACCTCCTCTTTTAGCCTTCTCCATCGGTCTTCTTGCAGAAGCACCTCCTGCTTAAGCTGTTCTGCTTTCTCTTTTTCTCGATGCTCCCTCAGCCTCCTGCGGGCCTCCAGCTCCTCGTTCCAGCGTTTCATACTCCGCTTCAGCTTCTTCCTCCTCTTTTTTTCTGCCTGAACTTGCTGGGCCTCCTCCTGCCTGCGGGCCTCCTGTCGCTCCCATTCCTCCTGCTGGCTGAGCTTCAAACGAGCCTGTTCCTCCTCATGCTTCACCAGCATCAGAGCAGCTATCTTCTGGTCTCTCTCCGATACTGTGACACACATCTGCTTTTGGATGCTCTTGGTGAGCCTCTTCAGCTTCTTCTCGGTAGCTGGGGAGTGTATGAGGTCTCCCAGGTTGAAGCTGCACAATGTGCTCCTCTCTGGATCCATTTTACTAGGAGCAGAGCAGGAGGACCTGCTAACAGCCTTCTCTTCAGAGCAGAGATCTGCATAGGGCATTTCTGTTGAGCGCTCTTCCAGTCTGGTGTCAGGCAACACCTCCAAGCCCGAGGCTTTACTGCTGCATGGCCGCCTGTCCCCGGCCGCCTGGATAATCCTCCGCCGTTCCTGGCCGCACTTTTGTAAAGTCTTCAGCCTCTCCTTTTCATAAGATTCATGCACGACTCTCATTGTCTCAAACGGCGTGTCCTGTCGCTCAGCAATGAAGTCGTTTAGAGATTTAATTAAAAGCTGAACCGGTTTTACACCCAGCCGAGCGCAAGACTCAAGCGAGCGAGAGTTCGTTAAGACATGTCGGTTGCTCTCTGCTCCGGGAGAGTCGAAGTTGTTCAGGTCCAACTTAAGCACAGGGGAGCTGCACCTCAGCTCCTCCATCCTAAAACTAAAAAGCTAAATTAATGGATGCCAGATACGGAGGTCCTGAGGCTCACAGGTGCTACACCGAGCAGCGCTTCCGCACGGTCTGCAGCACAGAGAGGTCAGCAGGGGATTAGCTACTTCCTCGCGGACAAATAACAGTCGGTATCTCATTAACCGTCTTTACCTCAACTGTGAGCAATGACAGGCCGAATAATAAACTAAAAAACTTTATTTAAGCAGACGGGAACGTGTTAAATAAACGCTTGCAGTCAAGCATGGATTTAAAAAAGGGCCAGTCTGTTGAGGTTTACAGGGATTTATTTATGCACAGCTCACTTAGGATCCCACCAGAGCGTTTCATTCAGGTTTACTTTCCCTGGATCACTGCAACGTCTTGATTTTTTTTTTCTTTTCCAGTCTCACTGGTCTGCTTCAGCCAAGCTTTAGCTGCTGCCACAAACTAAAATCACCACCATTTTTATCAAAAGAGAAAGGTTTTAAAATGCTAAACTATATATAACTGGGACTCGGATGCGTGGCTCATGGGCTTTTGAATTTGCTGTTGCTGTTTGCTTTTGATGAGTTTAAATGATTATATATCCCTGCGTCGCTGTATGTATGACAATGCAGTTTATCTGCAAAATAACAAGTAAGGAAAGCTCAAATAATTAGTATGGAGTGAAAAGAACAATGTTTTCCAACAAAATACAGCCAAAACTGAAAATAGCATGACCTAGACCTACTTAGATCAAGTAGAAATACATTAGAGCTATTCAAGTTGCATGCCTGCTGTTCATGCGCTCATCCAGCAGTGCTGGGTTGGGTAAGATTCGATTTTGAACTTTTTATTGTCTTTATACATGTTGACTTATTTAGTTTTTAATTTTTTATTTGTGAGTTGTAACCTGGACTTTTTGACTTCGAAGAATATAGGAGATTTTTATATTCTGTGGTAAATACACCACAGTTTGAATAAACATCCCAGAAGGCATTTTGGATTGGGTGCTGTCATAAAATACTAATTTCCCCCTGAGCAAAAGGTTATCCTTAACAAGACTCATTCTTTCTAGTTTGCCAGGTAGGTGCCACTTCCTCTTTGTTCTGCGTTCACATACCAAGCTATAAATGTGTGCGCCTGTCTTATTTTATTGAATCTCTAGCAGACTACCCATTGTTATATTATTCACCTGCATTTTGGTTCTTAATAATGACATGTAATGCTGCATTAGCTAAAAGCATTTCATGGACTCTTGTGCATTAAAAAAATAAAGTAAAAACATCCCAATAATTAATTAATTACATATCTTTAAAAAACAAACATATTTTTATAGGGTAGACTGGGGTTGGTTGTCACACTTTTTACCGTTACATGAAGTTGCAGAAGTTCCCAGGATCTTTTAAAAGACAACCAGTCTATTAGCAGATTTTTCCAACAGATAACCTGAGCAATAGTAAGCAGGTCAGTGTAAATATGTAAGAGAAAACCAAATGATGAACTCCACTTTTAAAACATAAAAAGTCCACTTAAAAACCAGAGAATCTGCAAGGACCTACCCAATCTGCAATCAATACAAGAGAGACTGATGCTTTTCCTTGAAAATTTTATTCAAAAAGCAAACAACACAGGCTGGTCGGTATAAAGCGCTAATGCTACCGAGTCATGTGCAAAGTGTTAAGTCCAATCATTGAGACACATATTTTACTACAAGAGCAGTAAATGTAGGTCAGAGTAAAGAGAAACATCACAATCTTAACCATCTCCATTTTTTTAATTTTTAACTCACTTTTTATATAAATAAAATACATTTATTTAAACATGTATCTGTGCAAACTTGTAAGTAATTTCAAACAGAATTTCTATTATTACGTGACCCCACCCAGGGGCTACAGCCGACACTTTGGGTAC